CATTCTGAAGTAAACATTAATATTAGCCTTTGCTCAAGATAGTGCTGCTATAGCTACTAACAGCCAGATTGACACCCTTATTACTATCTTACTCCACAAGTAGTTCCACTGATTAAATGCTACTTATGACCATAAGCCAAGCTGTGGAATACTTACTTATATGAGGGTCCCAATGAAGACTGACTATTCAAAGTACTTACCTTCCCCCTATTACCATAGTAGGAAGCCTTATAGCCTCCAGTGTATTTATCCTCATAACACCCCTGTTAGCCCTGTTATATACATAGGGAACTGAGGCATAGAGATCCTAAATGACTTGCCTATAGTCACACAAAGTCTGCACTGAAGGAGGGACTTGACCCCAGGTCTCTGAGTCCAATGCTAGCTCCCAAACCAGTGGACTATCCTTACTCTTTGGAGTAATCGTGTGAGTAAATCTCACCAGCATAAGTAAGGGTGCCACAGTTGTACACTATGGCTAGTCTAGAACTGGACTTGGCTGCTGCTGGGCACCAAGAATTAATATGGGGATCAGGGATGAGAGCAGTCAGGATTTTCAGTCGTCACATGGTGAGTGATTTCAAAGCAACATTTCCTGGGTCTATCTGATAAAGAACGGTGCCATAAGTGGTAGCACCTATTTCAGTTCCCACCGGACATCTTCAGCACATGACATAACATATATCCCTTATATAAAAATGGCAAGAGGAAAATCTGCCTTGCCTTGATGCTGTATTTCATTACTGTATTTGTTTGTAAGCTCATGTTTTACCTTCACCTTTATATTCGTAATGTAGTTTAAATTAGTTCACCTGGTAATTTATTGTTTTCAAATAAAGAATGTTGCTTACCTGGCAGGTTGTCAGAGCTCTAAGAAACAGGACACATTTCACTTTTTATTCACTTATTTATTTTGCAAAATGAACAAATACAGAATGGATAGTTCAGCTAGTAATGGAGATTGAGGGTTCTATTCATAAAATGTTTCTTGGCCATTTCTATGATTTTTGTCAACTCTTTGGCACTCTGCCCTACATTTCCACATTGCCTATCATATGAAATAAAAATTTACACTAATAGAAATGTGAGCCCTACAGAGATCTGAGAAGCACAAAGAGTATCAGCCAGCTTAAGGGTAAAATCAATGCTAATCAAATGTGTTGCCAGCTGATCACAACAATGCAGTCCCACACTTCACATGGTCCCTGAGACACTGGTACTTTCAGAGTTCTAGTGACTCACCTAAGGAAAGTTTGGAGATTCAGTCTGCTAGTTCATCAAGGGTTCATCAAGAATTCTCCAGCCAGGGGGAGACATTTGCAGTATCCATTCTGAAGAGTGCTTAGGTAAAGACCCTATGCCACACAGTTTGCAAAGGGCTGTGATTATTTCACTACCTCTTTACAGCTGATTAGTTAAGGGATCATTTACCAAGATTGTGGCACTGGGATTGTGTCCGTCTTAACGATTAATTATGGTAGGTCCCATGCCCAGCATTTTCTTACAGAAGACTGTAACTTTTGGTACAGGGAATGGAGAACAACTTAACTAGTACTCTTATTTCCCCCAAAACAGTTCCTTATCAACAGTACGTTTTTTAATTTATATTTTTCAGAAGTTTTAACATATCCATAGAGACATACTTAAATACAATGACAAAGGAAACACAGCAGGAGTATGGATTTAACAATAACTCAGTGAGAAATATTCATAGACTAAATACTCCTGAGATATAGAAGATAAAAATTCCGTAACAACTCTTTCCCACACCCAGCAAAACAAAACAAAAACGTCGGAAGTCAACCTGGAGTAAGTTTGTAATGGTCTCATGAAAGTCCAAGTGTCTTCATAGTTGGACCTTGTGTGTCTATAGATTAATGTCAGTTTTTCCATGAGGGTGGTGTTGGTTAGCTCAGTTAGACAATCAAAGAATGTGAGGGGAATAGCAGATTTCCATTTTTGTAAAATGACACTTTGGGCCATTATAAGGGTACTGCATCCATCAGCTGGCATTACGTAAACAGGGTAAATCTTCCAGAATGCCCAAAATACAGAGGCTTGACGTAGAGGGAAGATAGAATACCACACACTTCCTTCCAAGAGATGGATATACTTTAACATTCAAAGGTTACATGAGACAAGTTTGCATTGGAGCTGTCATATCTCCAATGTTTATTATGTGGGGCAAGTCCAGCTTTATGCAATCACTCAAGAGTCCAATACGATCTAATTAGATTGTTTTTCTGAAAAAAAAATGCAAAAACAGAGAACTGGATGTTCTGTGCATATTTTGCCAAATATTATTCCACCTGTTAGAGGAAGGGGAGATATTTAGCTCATTCCCCCACTTTTCTTTTAAGGTATAGTCAGATTAAATCAAGGAGTTCAGCTATTGTATGTGTTACCCACAAAATGTTTTTGGCTCACATACTTTTTAAGGTGCACATCAAGTGATGTGATGTTTGTAACCTGCCAAGAATTCCTCAGCCCTTTCATAATTTTGAGTAGCAGTTTACTGTAGAATAATCTTGGTTTCTTGGTAACTGGTATTTATTATGAAGATATGTGAAGGCAACTCAAGTTGTCCATTCAATAATATCTTTAAGATGAATATGCCCTGGTTAGTCAAGTGGGTCTGAGTTTTGAACTATTAGCAGATTTAAATCTGGGATTATTCTAGATTGGCATGGAAAGATAGCTGGTGAGATTAGAAGTGCTAATGGACTTGATTTTCTGAAGAACACTCCAAGAGCAGGTAAATATTTCCTTTTTCCTTAAAAGTGCAAGCAACTGTTGTTGTTGTTTTGCTTTTTAAATGGAAGTGCAGAGAGAGAGCAAAAGATTAACTAATTTTCTTCAATCTCAAATCACACTGGGTGTTTGGGATGTGTTAGAGGGACAGAATGATTTTATTAAAAATCTTAATTGAAAAGCCAGATAATATAAATACAGATCAAAATAATCCCCCCCCCCCTTTTGGAGAGAGGGGGCAGATTTATTAAATATCTTGTGGGATATCTGTGGTATCTTCATATTCCACAAGAATTATTGAATAACTCTATTCTTATAAAAATTGAAGCAGGAAATTTAAGTGGAATTAAGTTAGACATATATGTTAATCTTAGTCCTTAATTAATCAATAATAGCTTCTACCTTTCCCAATAAATATATTGGTGAACACTATTTCTCCATGTCTTTTGTCACTTCTCTGAATATCATCCATGTTTGAGGATACTAGTTTTGATAAAGCAGATCATATCCTGATGCCTAAGTACGTTATCTCTTTGCATGAATGAAAGTAGAATGATTGCACTTGAGATGGATTTGGTCTATGAGAAATATTAATCAACTTGAGACTTGTTCCAGTTTATCCAAAATCCTGGTAGCTCACAAATTAGCTTATTGCAGACAGTAGCAGTGGAATTGAAGAAGAGAGATTTTTGAGAGTGAGCAGAACATTATCCACATTAACCACTAATCTTGTACTTTTTATCTTGATGGTAAATCCTTCAGCGGAGGATGTCTGGCTGATATATGCTGTTAGCAGTTCCATGGCTATGTCAAATAGTAGCGGCAATAGAGGGCATCCCAGATGTGTTCCTCAATTTCACTGAAAAGTGGAGGAGATAACAGCACCATTTGTTAGAACAAGGAGTAGTTTGTAAATAATATCAATCCAGATCAGAAAATTAGGTCCAAATCATTTTTACACATCATTTTATTAGAATTAGGGTAATTATCGCTGTCTGCATATCCGGTGACATTATTGCTGTTGTAAATATTTACTGTAGATTTCTGACAGTATCAGTACTAATTGATTGATAAATGTGTTATAAAATTCTGTTGGAAAGCCATCACACCCAGGTACTTTGCCTGAGTTGAATGATCCAGTTGCCTTCTGAGCTTCAAATAGAAAAATATCTTCCTCCATGTAATCAGTTTGAGGTAGTAGCAACAATGTATTTAGAGGTAGTCCATCCGGGAATTGGTCAGATAGATTGGAATTGAACTCATCTTGAAATGTGTAAAGGGATTCATAAAAGTCTTTAAATTGTTTGTGAATTTCATTAGGTTCTAGTACAGAAAGACTATAGTAAAGAGGATATAGTGTTACTGGATGAAGCCATTTTAATTTTTCTCACTGGGAGTTTGTCTGCTTTATCCCTTCATTCATAATGCCTCTGTTTAACTCTATTAAGAAAGAATTCACATTGAATTCAATACATTCATTTTATTTGTATTTTGAGGTAATGAGAGAGTATAGCAACTCATCTTTCTGAGGGCTTTCTTTTTTTTTTTTTTTTTCAAATTTGGTAACCCCCTCTGCCAAAGAATTAAGTTTTCTTTCTTTCTTTCTTTCTTTCTTTCTTTCTTTCTTTCAATGTTATGAATTCTCCCCCTAATATAACTTTCAGTGCTTCCCATAAAGTTGTAGAGGAGACAGTATTTGTATTTGCCTTCAAGCAGTTGGTAATGGATATTTCAGTCATCTGAATAAATTTAGGGTCTCTAAGTAGAGGTGCATTTAACTTCCATCTTGAGGATCTGTTAGCACTTTGACCAGTGTCTGTGTGAAGAGAAATGGGAGAAAGATCAAAGGTGACAATATTACTTGTGCCTCCAAACCTACAGAAGCTAGCACCTTAGACATCCATTAAAAAAATCTAATCTGGAATAGGAGGCATGAACCATGGAGAAATATGTGTAGTCACGCTTTGTAGGATACTTCAGTCTGCAAATATCCACTAGTGCAATTTCCTTTAGTAGGGATAATAGATGGTTTACAAAAGCCTCAGATTTTCACCTAGAACACAGAGTTTTTTGTCTAGGATATTATCCTTGACAGCGTTCTAATCTCCTCCTCCTAGTACCACTGGGGAATCAGCTCTGTTGGAAATAATAACAGTTATTTCTGCAATAAAGGATGCATTCCCACCACTAGGGTTATATACACTCTGCAAAACTAATTTCTTAGCATTGAAAATGCCTTCAATTATTATGGATCTGCCGTCTGAATCTGACCACAACTGAATAAATTGAAAAGTTAGGCTGCTGTGGATTAGTATCACTATTCCCCTGCTTCTGGAGTTGAAAGAAAAGCGATGTTCATATCACACCCACAGATTTTTAATTCTGTCTGCAGCTTCATTCCTTAAATGGGTCTCCTGAAGGTAAGTTATGTGGCATGCATTTGATTTTTAAATGCCTTGAAGTTTTGATTGTCTTGGAGGGTTCATTAAGCCCTGTATATTCTAGGACTAAACCTTATTAGAGTTCATGTGGTTGTTCCACTGCTAATTGATGCCCAGTAGATTGACAGCCTCTGTGTGCCTTTCTGTGTAAAAGAAATAAATAAAAAATACACAACCCCCATTACTCTTAACATCCCAGACTTCCAATATGGGCACATTGAGATCCCAGATGGCATATGCCTACACCCACCTTTTCTCCCACCAGGCACAATATGAATCCATTAGGAATCTGCCAGAAACATACCTATATTTACCAAAATACATACATCTGCCATGGTAAATAAATGAATGAAACCTATTACTTCATAGATATGAATGCATAAGTAATAGTATATAGTACATAAATGCTAATGTGCACGTGGTATATAAATATTTATACTGATAGACTAATGAAAAGGGTAAACATGAAGTGACATAAAGAATATGTGTGCAAATAAATAGATATGAATATATTATTACCATACACATATTATAAATATATAAACTTTCAGTATAGATAGAAATGTAAAAATAAATATACATGAGCCCATATTAAGTGATATAGGCAGTCACAAATAACATCCAAGGAAACAGTTATGAATATATCAACATCATGTATATATAATAAACAAATAAATAGACTTTTAAATATGATTATGTAAGGAGAAATAAGGCAATAAGAGTATTATAGTTATGACTATATAGATACACTTATGCTGGCTTATCAATATATTGAGAGTATTAATTACCAAGTTATACTAAATATCTTGTCTATCGGTACTGATTACACCCTATTACATTATTAAATATATCAGATACGTCAAATATATGTACGTGAGTGGCCTGGTTTTCCCAGTCACAGTTCCTTTTCTTCAGGGCTTATACTCTTCATTTTCTTTTCCTTTATGAGAGGATCATCCTGTTACCTGTCGTGAGATCTGGTCTCAATTTCTGTAGTGCTTGCCAAGCCTGCAATGGGGTACTGGAGTATTTCACAGCGTCTGTCATCTTCATTATGAAGATTGCAGGATATTTGAGGCTGTGTTTCATATCTGATCCCCTGAGAGTTCGTTTGATGCCTTTAAATGCTGTTCTCATCTTGCTTATATTTACAGGGAAGTCTGGATACAAAGAAAATTTAAAATACTTGCACTTCAGTTCCTTTTTGCCTCCTGGCAAACATCAGCTTAACTTTATTGTTAAATCTTAGCAATTCAAAATTATGGATCTGGGGTTATGATTGTTTTCTCTCATTCTGGCCCATGCCACTCGATGAGACTTTTCAGCCTCCAGGAGAGGCAAACAGTGATCCAAACCCAGTACCTCAGAGAGTGTGTTGTTTTTTTCCTTCCAGCTCTCCAGGAATCCCCAAAATCCACAAATGATTCCAATGTGCTCTGTTTTCAAGATATTCTTGTTTCTCCTCAAGACTGGTTAGTCTTTCCCTTAAGGAAGTATTCTTTGCTTTAACCTCCTACAGATTGCAGTTTGTAGTTTGTTATCCAAATAGGTCAAATGAGCTTTGACTTCTTCCGCATCTTTAGAGCACTCACATGTATCTTGAGATACAAGGTCAAGTTTCAGTAGTTAGAAAGTCCATCATATCTGCAAAGTCCTGTGTGAGAAAACCCAGCAATCTCTAAGTCTTACCTGTCTTTGGATACTCAGGCTTTGGTTATTTGGCATTTCTGTTGTTCCCAGCAGTATCCATAATACAGCAAAAAGGGGCGGTCCTCATCTAATTAGTACATTTCTGAGAGAAAGTTATGGTTTAGATGCCTGGGCGCCCTTAATTGATGAGGATTAGTGCATTGGGGTTAAGGAGACCAGGAGGCAGGCTGCTGTCTTCTCTACAGGTCGAATGACCCCACCATCATCAGCATCTTCTAAAGCACAATTTTCATAACCTAAAATATCTGGATACATATTTTTAAATTTAAAACTTTCTCTGTTTACTTTTTGGTTCATTATCCTTAGTTTTAATTGAGATTATTTTTGCTAACCATCAAGATTTTTAGTGCATTTCCATAATATATGTTCCACGGAGGAACTTGCAGGAACAATGAATTTATTCATGCAGATATTGTGATATTTAAGTGACTCACAAGACTCTTAGGGTACTGAGATCTCAAGAACTGTGGGATTTTAGATGGGGCTGTATTCTTGTGATAAATTGAAGATTCTCATTTTATCAAGCTATGCCTTTGCCCATTCCTTCTCCATACAATAATAAGTTTATGCGGTATACATTGTCTGGGCTATAGAGGATTGTGTTACCTTAAATGTTTTCCTCTATTATTTCACCCTTATGGGAACATTAGGTGGCATAAACTATTTAAGAGAGGGGAAATAAAGAAGAGGTCCTCCTTGCCCAGGCCTCCATGGAGGGCATAGGTGGAAGTGAATCTTGAGTTTTCTGGGGCAAAACCAGGATAGGTTTGTTTACAAATCTTATTCCACCATATTCTCTGCCAAAGTAATAAAACCCCTGAAAGAATCTTCCTTCTGGAAATAGCTTGAAGGTAGCTTTTTATATCACTCTCTTCACTAAAATGACTATTCAATAGTGAACATCAATCCTGAACAGTCACTTTCAGTTTTCCTGAATGGTATGGCCTCATTTCTGCACTGTAGTTGTCTTCAGACTTTTTTCTCTTTATAAAAGGCATCACAGGTGATATTAATAACACTTAACCTGCTCCCACATGAAATGCTATCAAGGTTTCCGTTAACAAAATAGTGTCTCTTATGATGTCAGCTGTACATACACTGCATGTCAGGTAATTATCAGTGAAAGCATCTATATCAGTTATGCCAGCAAGAAGGATATTTGATTGTGTCTTTTGTATCTGGCTGCTGAATAAGACTTTTGGAAAAATTGCTTGGCATCTTTAAGCCTCATACGTGGCTCATGGTATACTAATTGTAAAGAGATGATGACCATGATAATGTTACGGGAGTCATTAAATAAAGAACATTACAAATTCTTTGGCCCAGCCCACCAAAACACTTAAGTATGTGATGCTTAACTCTATGCATGTGAGTATTTATTTTCTGAAAACTGAGTGCATTGTTTTGCTGGAGACCTTTCTGCCATATGTTGTGGTGCAAAGATGTGAACAGCAGCGAGGACTGTTTCTGGCCTGTCATCTGGTACTGGTAAATATATGCAGTACTGTTCCATACCTCAAGAAGCAATACAATAAGATAAGGAATGAATATAAACTGTTTCAAAGACTGCATTAATCTTTTGGATTCTTTAAATGCTTCTTTGTGTGTTGGCCTGGGTATTCACATTTCTTAGTGTAGTTATTGTATTAATGCCAGAAAACTTGATAGATTTGGCAGCTATTTGGTGAAATAATTGATTTCACTAAGAGAGTTACTCTATTAAGTCCCATAGAGACTGAGTTTAAGAATAGCTTTTCTTTGTTTGTTATTCTGGTTGTAAAAGGAGATCTGCAGCTGCTAGATTCTTGCCTGTGAATATTTACCCAACAGGAACCATCCCATTTGTTTTGGTTAGAGTCACATAGCTGCCATTTTAAAGAGTCACATAGTTGCCCCACTTTCGGTTGCTGCCCCAATTTCCCTCTGCCCCCATGTGGGTTTACTGTTGTGTAGGAAAAAAAGCAGGCAGAGAGTCTCATCACTCCTAACACTCTTGCACAGCCATAGTTATAATTTGTCTGTGTGCACTCATTGGTTTATATTCTCAGCTTTTGTAAATCAGCATAGCTCCAGAGGCGACGCGTGGAGGGGCACGCAGGGGCATGTGTCCCCGCAGATTTGCTGCTTGGCTTGTACGGGGCATGTTCACACAAACTGAGCATGCTCAGTAACATCTGCTGAAGCTGCTGCCCTCACTCTGTGCCCCCCCCTCTCCCCCTCAGCAGGTAGGGGTCCTCTCTGCGTAGCTCCATTAAGTGCGAAGGAGCACCAGGATTGCCAGAAGGATTGAATGATTCAGAAGAGGTCTCTCTGGGTGTAGCAAGGCCTGCAGTTCCCTATGCACCAGACACAGACTGGAGCTGTTCTCTTGGGGTGGGGCAGATATTAAACCTTTTCATAAAGTGAGCATGCTTCCCCAGTGCACTTGCAGTCAAGTTCTAGCTTGCTTCCAGACACTGCTGTGCACCTTACACCACCTTCACCCCTCACTTCCCAAGGGTGGCTCCGTTTGTAAGTATATTTTATTCCTATATTGTCACATATATAGATATGCAGAGAGAGATTCTAACTCAATATGAAATCCAGAGGAATATCAGTCAAGAATCCAAATACTTAAACCCTTCTTAGTTTAACTAAGTGCTTATCTCAGTGATTAAAAATTCTTGAGAGGAGTTGTATAGAAAAAGCCTTGAGGTACTCATTAAAATTAGTAGGCAAGGGTTATTTGTTCATCTGTCAGAAAAGGAAAACAAACAAGAATATTCTCAAGTCTCACTGCTAATGTGCAAGAGGTGAAAATTGTGATGTAACATGTACCACCAACCTATTTCAAGTCAAAGCCTTGTGAATATGTTTGAAGATGATGATGTACTGAAGTACAAGGGAGGGAAAATTTACTAACAATGAAATACCAGAAATAAAAATGAAAGGAGACTAATTTCAATGTAAGTACAGGATAAACAGAAAAGAGATTTGGGAACTGATGATAAAAGGATTGGAATGGAGGTGTGACATTTCTATGTATAAGGGCCAGAGCCTCAGCTGGTGTAAACCATTAGTTTCAGTGGAGCTACACCACTTTACACTGTGAATCTGGCCCATAAATATAAAAAGATAAATTGTTGATAATTAACAGTAAATATTAAGTTCAAGGGTTTAAATAGTAATTTAACACTATCAAAACAGAGCAAGGCTCCTTTATAATCAGTAAAATTATGAGTGCCTTCAATTTGGAAAGCACATAGAGGATGAAAGCAGCATTTTCACAG